AAACAACAACCCGGTGCCTAGCAATGAGGTGCTCCCTGCTGATCCTAACGAAGTCCCAGCTGCTGATCCAATCGACACTAATTCACAGGTCGCTATCGACACACACCTGCCAACAGACCTAGAAAATAGCGTTCGTGGAGGTCTCGACCAACAGTTCGAGAAACACCCGAAGGCGATGAGATAAGCTTGCGGGTAATCTTTGAAATTGCAGGCTCAACAGGCGGTAATAGCACAACTAAAGAATCAAGGCCATCCTCCTAATAGATTCGAGCCTGAACTGTCCCGGGAGAACACTTGAAGAAACGAGCAAGCCACCGAGAGGTCGGGTGAAGTTGAGTCCCGGGCAAACCCCGAGATAATGAAAATGCTTCAAGCATTGACGAAGCGAGTGGAATCAGGTGAGAAGAAAATTGAGGCCAACGATAAAAAGGTGGAGACATATAACTCCACGATCGATCAAATCCCCGGAGCACCCCCAATATTAAAAGGACCAGATTCTAAGAAGTTTATCCAAAAGACTTTCCCCCCGAGCACTGCACCAAAACCAATACCGGAGAGGTTTCGTACGCCCGACATTCCAAAGTATAATGGAACCACGGATCCAAACGAGCATGTGACCTTCTATACCTGTGCCATCAAGGGGAACAACTTGGAAGATGACGAGATCGAGTCGATGTTGCTAAAGAAGTTCGGAGAAATCCTATCAAAAGGAGCAATGATATGGTATCAAAATTTGCCCCCAAATTCTATTGATTCGTTTGTTATGCTTGTAGATGCCTTTATAAAGGCTCATGCCGGGGCCATCAAGGTCGTGACCACAAAATCGGACCTTTTCAAGGTTAAGCAAAGAGACAACGAGATTCTCAGGGAGTTCATGTCAAGGTTTCAAATGGAACGGATGGATCTGCCTCCGGTCGCGGATGATTAGGCTGTTCAGGCATTCACTCAAGGACTTAACCCCTGAAGTTCTTTGGCTTCGCAGCAGCTAAAACAAAATTTAGTTGAATATCCGGCAATAACTTGGGCCGACGTCCACAACAGGTATCGGTCAAAAATCAGAGTTGAGGATGGCCAACTCGGAGCCCCTTCTGGGTCCGTTTATCACGTTTGAACCGACGACAGGTCTAAGAGAGTCATCGATCATGAATCAAGATCGATCCCAGACCGGTATCAACCATACGGCAGAGATCGTAGGGGAAACGGGTCTGGGCGTCACCCTACGAGGAACGAAAAGAGAAGTGATTGAGGGCCCAATAGTCGAGGTCTGATGAGCAAAAATGGTTTCGACAGGCCACTCGGGGCTAGGGAGGCACCAAGATTGTCGGAGTATAACTTCAACGTTGATGCTGCCAGTATCGTGTCGGCCATCGGGCGCATCAAGGACACCAAATGGCCTCGACAATTGCAGTCCGACCCTACCTAGAGGAAACTTGATGTGCAAATATCATGGCACTCATGGCCAGAGGACCGAGGATTGCCGCCAATTGAGAGAAGAAGTTGCCCGGTTGTTGAATAATGGGCACCTACGAGAATTTCTGAGTGATCGAGCAAAGAACCACTTCAGAAACATGGACGTCAGCAAACAGACCGAACATGAGGAACCTCAACACATCATCAACATGATCATTGGAGGGGTCGATTCCCCTCAAGGGCCAATGATAAAATGCACTAAAGTATCTATCACAAGGGAAAAAAACACTCAAGATTATATCCCGGAGGGAACCATTTTGTTCAATGACGGGGATGCCGAGGACATCGTGCAACCTCATAATGACGCACTTGTAATAGCTGTATTTATCATTAAAACTCGAGTTAAACGTGTGTTAATTGATCCAGGTAGCTCGTCCAACATCATCAGATCGAGGGTCGTAGAGCAGTTGGGGTTATAAGATCAAATAGTGCCAGCAATTCGGGTGTTGAACGGATTTAATATGGCATGCGAAACCACTAAAGGGGAGATACGCCTACTGGTGAACACCGTCGGGACCATCTAGGAAACAAAGTTCTATGTGAACGAATGGGATATGAGATATAACGCTCTATTCGGAAGGCCATGGATTCACAACATGAGGGTGGTTCCTTCGATCTTGTACTAGGCGTTGAAGTTCCCTACACCAAAAGGAATCAAGACGGTATACGGAGAATAGCCGGCTGCAAAAGAGATGTTCGCAGTTGACGAAGTACTCTCGGTACCCGCCATTTCGACATTAAAGAGCACGGAGCCGACCAGAAAGGCCAAAGTTAAATAGCAATCACCGATGCCGACCCCGGTCGGATTGGGGGAACGTGGAGTCGATGAGGAGGATGATTACGGAGTTCCGAGATCATTCATAGCTCCTAATGATACGGACGCCACCAAATCAACGGTCGAAGAGTTGGAGCAAGTCACATTGATCGAACACCTGCTGGATCAAAAGGTATACCTAGGCACGGGGTTAGCCCCCGAGCTTAGGATATCACGGCGCGAATCTCGCCCGAGGTTGGTAACGTATTAGTGATTGATGTACAAGGAGGTTTTTTACCTTTTTTTAAATTGTACCAGGGGGTAAAATTTCCCTACTATATAAAGGGGAAGTTTATCATTCAATAAACACACTATAACACGCATATCAATGCAATACAAACTTATTTCTTTGCTTTATATCTACTAAAAGCTTCCTTTTTTAATCATATTTCTTCATATACAACGTTGGGCTCCGAATCGAGGGTCTGGCAGAGGGCAAAACCGTTGTTCAACTTATATTCGAGCCCGGACTCAATGTCATAACTAGTTTTGTTGTTTATTGTATCTTCAATACGTTTATCTAACATTCTTGATCACTTGTATTGAATCAATCTACATATCCTTAAAATTGTATATAAATTTAATTGTTTTCTGTTTTATAGGGTAAACATATATGCTTTTGTAACCACAGGAATCTCATGGAAAAAAACCCATTAGATTAATAAAGAACCGTTGACACTTGACACATGCCAGCCATTTTTTTTTTTTTTTTTGTTAAAGCTATCCAGCTGTTTCATAGGCTCAAACATATATAGATAAATATATAAATACAATGGAGGGGGACTTCAATTTACCTCTGTTACTATGTAGGTTGAGCATCCTCAAACCTTTACAAAATGATGGAGAAATATATGCCAGCCATTTCAGAAATTAGAAGAAAATTTGTGCAATAATTTCATGTTATTGGCCAGCACATGTTACGTACCTTGATGTTATATATTTATACCTCCATATCCACAATAAGGCTACGATTCTGAAACTTCCTATATTAAAATAACCCAACATATATGCCATGCTAGTGCTTAATTCAATTCACTTTCTCAATTAGCTTACCCCAGAATTTTCTAATTTATTTGGTAAGGTCCCCGAAAGAAAAGTAGGAAATTATTAGTCCCAAGGGGTCGACTACCGTAAAAGGTTTCCAAAATTCCAGGAATTCGAGAAGTCATAATAAGTGAAATGTCTATGATTAGAGAGTTAGCACTCAATGATTATTAGCTAGTCTTATAAAGTGTGTTTTAGTAACTTTAAACACGCAACTTCGAAATTAGATCCAAATGTCTGTTCTACGAGTAATTTTTCAAATATTACTTCTTTTTTTTGAGAAGAAATGCGTTGGGTAAATTTCATAAATATATCTCTCTATATATATATATATAAAAGAGGGATAATGAATGCTGCCTTGACACCTCTTATAGACTAGGAAATGTATTTATCTAATTACTTAGCTTTTTGCATTTTTCTTCTATTTATGAGTTATATTAAAAAAAAACCAAAAGACATGACTCCTCATTAAACATTATCCTTTCGTGTCAATTACAAACTTATCATTTTATATCAGTTACAAACCTTTATGTGCTATATTAAAAAAAATTAAAACTGAAAAGACATGACTCTTAATTAAACATCATAATTTCATTTCAGTTACAAACCTTTTCACCTATAATTGCTCCTATTCCAATCCTATAAATTCAACTTTCTTTCTGACTATTTTTGTTCGTAGCGGAAGTCCAACTATGACAGGGTGGAGTAATGCTTCTGTTTAATTAAGCTTTTATTTTCTTGTAACTATTTTAATGGGTGTTGGTTGTTCAACGTAGTTCTTTTTTCGTTTACATACTTCATTTGCTTTAAAATTGGTCTGTTATTATATTGTAATGTCTAACAATCTTTATGAAACAAAATATTTATGTTATTATTTGTGTTTCTCTGATTTCAGGATGATTCGAATTTTGAGAGTTACGTTAGCATCATTAGGATCGACTTTGTAAGTGAATCCTCCCGTTGTCTATAATTTAAAGCCTCATTTAGTAATGGTTCAAAAATATATTAGATATAATTAAAAAAAATCTTGATAATCCAAACAGTTGAACATGATGCAACAATCTTTAATTCCATTAGATTGTCGTGTAGTTCAATTGTATGTAATGTTTACCGATCTTTATGGAAGAAAACAGGTTTTTTTTTTTTTTGTTGGTGCACAACCCAGAACTACGCTAGTAGAGAAGAACACAAAGAAGAACAGACCTCTCTTATTTAGAAACACCAAGGAAGAAGACAGAGGCGGTGGAAGCTAAGTGTTTGGTCTGAAGGGTTTCTTTTTTTTGTTTTAATAAAGATGTTGGAACCGGGTTGGATTCTTTATTGGTTTGGGTTTCTATTGACTTGGGCTTCATCTGGTATCATGCCCAGCTGAAGTAAAGGTCCGGTTTCAATTTATGCAAGAGTCCAGCTGGCTACACAAATTCTTCTAGAAACAGAACATGCCAAAATAACACCTGTAAATATTTTCCATACATATCATTATTCATTAGTTTGTTATAGCATATACAATTAGAATAGGACACCTGTACTAGGCAGTTGTTTGAAAGATTCTTTTTTTACTGTATTTATACAAAGCACTGTACAGAATAATATCATCATCAATACAAAGAAAATTTTCCTACGTTCCTTTTCTATTTTTGACATGGTATCAGAGCAGGTTTAATCTGCTCCAGTACAATTTCAAATCAGTCTCTTTTCATCATCTTTCATCTTCTTCAACTAGCCAGCTATGGTATCCACTAGTCTACCCACAAATTCTTCCACAACCACTCCTGTTATAACTCCAGTCTTCAATGGAGCTGGAGCAATTGACTCATCTCACCCCTATTATCTTCATCCCTCGGATTACCCAGGGATGAACCTTGTTTCCTTAGTTTTCGATGGCAAGAGCTATGGAGGGTGGAGAAGAGCAGTCGTCATTGCTCTTTCTGCCAAAAACAAGCTGGGGTTCATTGATGGAACCCTTTTTGTCCCAAGTTCTGATTCTGGTCTCCAAAAGGCTTGGGCTCGCTGCAATGACATGGTATTGTCATGGTTACTCAACTCCCTGTCGAAAAAAATTGCAGAAAGTGTGTTATACTTACAAAGTTCTAAAGATCTATGTGGAGATCTAGAAGACATGTTTGGACGGACAAATGGTGCAAAGCTCTTCCAGCTACAGAAGGAGTTGAGTGCAGTAGTTCAAAGTAACACTAGTGTTTCAACCTATTTCACTAAGATGAAGAGTTTATGGGATGAGTTAGATGCTTTGAACACCTTTTCTGCTTGTGTTTGTGAGTGTAATTATGGAGCTAAGGCTAAGAGCTTGAAAGCACATCAAGATGAAAGATTATTGCAATTCCTAATGGGTTTAAATGAGTGTTTCGTAGGAGTTAGAAGCAACATTCTGTTGTCTTCTCATCTACCCTCTATTGGACAGGCTTACTCACTAGTCATACAAGATGAAAAGCAAAGGAAAATACATGCTACACCTGTTTATCCAGGTGAATCAGGATCTTTTGTGGCAGCTAACTATGCCGGAAGAGGAAAGAAGGCTAATGACTATAAGGGACAGAAACAAGTTTTTGAAACAAAGAAGAACACTAGCATATGTGCATAATGCAAGAAGCCTAGTCATAACATTGATAAAAGTTATAGGATACATGGTTTCCCAGAGGATTTCAAATTCACAAAACAGAAGAAATTCCAGCCCATATCACAAGCTAACAATGCTTTTAATCTAACTGAAGCAGTGGAACAAAGAATTAACTATGCACCTGATGTGAAGACTCTCACTCAAGAGAATGTGACACAATTGCTTCAGTTGCTCCAACAGGTGAACATGAACCAGAATCAGCAAAATGCAGGCACCTCTGATGTTTTTGCAAACTTCAATTGTTCTGGTATATCTAAGTTCTTCAACTCTTATGCCTGTTACATACAAGTAGATAGTCATTCATGGATAATAGACAGTGGAGCAAGTGAGCATATGACCTTTGACAAAGCTTTTCTTTCAAATTTCAAAGCCTTAAGTAGGCCTGTCATAGTTAATCTACCTAACTCTTGTAGAGTTAAGGTCACTCATTATGGTTCTGTTACTCTCTTTCCTAATGTAGTATTGCAGAAGGTCTTATATATTCTCAGTTTCAAATTCAATCTATTCTCAGTGCATAGATTATGCAAACAACTCCAGAAATATATCTTATTCACTCTTTTTTCTTGTTTTCTGCTGCAGGACCCTTCACTGAAGAGCCCTCTGGAGATTGGTAAAGAAGCCGGAGGCCTATACATCCTTAAGTCAAGGCAGCATGGTGCAGCTGTTTCGAAGAATTTTTCTAAGTCTAGTGGTATTTTAGTTTCTAGCAAGCAATGAAAGCCTAGTGCTATTTCCAATTCCTGTTTTATATTTTCTGATTCCAATGTAAAAGAAAAGTTGTGGCACTATAGATTAGTCCACATGCCTTTTAGTAATATGAAGAATATTTTATCTACTTCAGTTCCTTCATGTTCAAAATTTTTAACTCCTTGTGTTATTTGTCCTTTGGCAAGACAGTCCAAACTCCCTTTTCCCCACATGTTCTATCACCACTAAGGCTGTGTTTGAGTTAATTCACATCGATACTTGGGGACCTTATAAAGATGCTACATATGATGGATTCAAATATTTTCTTACCATTGTAGATGACTTTAGCAGAGGAACTTGGACCTATCTGTTAAGCAACAAGTCAAATGCCTTTAATATCCTAAAGTCTTTCTTAATTATAGTTGAGAGATAATTTCACACTAAAGTTCAAACAATAAGGTCAGACAATGCTTTTGAATTAGGTAGTGGAAATGTTCAATCTGAATTTTTTCTTTCCCAGGGGATTCTACATCAAACAACTTGTGCGTCAACTCTGCAACAAAATGGAATTGTAGAAAGGAAACATAGGCATCTTTTATAGACTTCTAGAGCTTTGTTGTTTAAGTCACAATTGCCTATCTCATATTGGGGGGATTATCTTTTAACAGCTACCTACTTAATAAACAGATTCCCTCCAAAGTACTGCATCTTAAAACACCATATGAGATCCTGTTCAACACTAAACCAAACTATTATGTGTTAAGATGTTTTGGATGTTTGTGTTTTGCCTCTACCCCTTCAAATCATAGAGCTAAGATTGAGGAAAGAGTTGTACCTTGCGTATTCATAGGTTACCCTCATGGAAAGAAAGGTTATAAGCTGCTGAATCTTAAAACAATGAAGTCTTTTGTTTCTAGAGATGTAATATTCCATGAGGAGTTTTTTCCCTTTGCCTCTATTAAAGCTTCTGATCTTGCTCACATTTTTTTCCATATGCTGTCCAGAACAAGAACACTTCTACCTTTTCAGATTTATCACACCAGAATGCCTCTCCCTATAGTCCCAATACCACACCAAAACCACAGTTGTCTACTCCTATCTCCCCTATTCTAAATCAGTCTTCACCCTGTCAGGTTTCTCCTGCACCTTCTTCAGGATCAAGGGTCTCCATTCCCATTCTTTCATCACCTGAATCAGAATCTATGTTAGATACTCTTATCAGGAAGTCCACCAGACCACATAATCCCCCTTCCTACCTAAAGGATTACATTTGTAATGCCTTGCAACTCACAGATGTGAGCACTACTTATTTCCTAAGTTCTATTCTGCCTAAGTCTCTTCATGTTAGTGATCTATCCAATTCCAACCAACATATGCTCACCTCCCTATCTAATATTTGTGAACCTATTAGCTATGTCCAGGCTGCACATCATCCAGGTTGGAACGAGGCCATGGCTAAGGAGATTGCAGTACTTGAACTCAATAAAACTTGGGAAGTGGTTGAGTTACCCCCTGGTAAGAAGGCACAACCCAGCAAATGGGTATACAAGGGAAAACACCTCTCTGATGGTAGTGTAGAGAGATTGAAGGCCAAATTGGTGGTTAGGGGGGATATACAACGTGAAGGCATCGATTTCAATGAAACCTTTTCACCGGTAGTCAAAATGACTACCATCAGATGCCTTCTAGCTGAAGCAGTTAAACAAAATTGGGGAATTTACCAATTGGACGTGAATAATGCATTCTTGCACGGTGATCTAAATGAGGAAGTGTATATGAAATTCCCTCTTGGTGTTATGTCTCCTTCCCCAAGACATGTTTGTAGGTTGAAGAAGTCCTTTTATGGACTTCGACAAGCTTCTAGGCAATGGTATGCAAAGCTGACCACTACCTTAAACTTCAAAGGGTTCACTCATTCTTTAAACGATTATTCTCTTTTTTTCAAGAAAATAGACTCTTCTATCTCAATTGTTGATGTTTATGTCGATGATATACTTCTAACAGGTAATGATAATTCAGAACTACAAGCTCTAAAGGAATTTTTAGACCAAGAGTTCAAAATAAAGGATCTTGGAGACTTACATTTTTTCTTAGGAATGGAAGTTGTTGTGAACCTCAGGGGCTTATCCTTTCTCAGAGAAAGTTCACTCTAGATCTTCTCCGGGAGTTTAATTCACTACATCTACGCCCTGTCTCTTCTCCTCTTGATCCATCTGTCAAGCTACATGCTAAGGTTGGTGGTGCAATACCAGATCCCACTTTATATCGGCATCTTTTGGGGAAACTCAATTACCTAACACATACGAGGCCTGATCTTTCTTCCGCGGTCCAGCATTTAAGCCAGTACATGCAAGACCCGCAAAAACCTCATCTTGATGCAGCTTTTCGAGTTCTACGTTATCTGTTACGCGATCCTGGTCTTGGAATTTTTTTGACAGTCTTTTCCTCTTTTGAGTTGTTGGCTTTTTGCGACTCGGATTGGGGTTCCTGTCCAGATTCTCGTCGCTCTGTGAGTTGCTACTTCATATCACTTGGTTCTTCTCCTATTTCGTGGAAATCAAAGAAGCAAGCCTCAATCTCGCTAAGTTCTGCCGAGGCTGAGTATCGCAGCATGCGACGAGTTGTTGCAGAGCTCACCGGGTTGGTACGTTTGTTTGAAGATCTCTCCATCCCCATCTCACTTCCTGTTCATCTTTACTCCGACAGTCAAGCTGCAATCCATATAGCTAAGAACCCCGTCTTTCATGAAAGGACGAAGTACGTGGAGATTGACTGCCATTTTGTGCTCAACAGTATCTCGCAGGTTTAATTTCACTCTCTTTCATCCGATCTTCTTCTCAGTTGGAATTGGAAGATCTATTTACCAAATCCCTCACAGGCCCTGTTCATCGCAATCTATTGTGCAAGTTGGTGGTCCTCTCGTCCCCCGCCAACTTGAGGGGGGATGTTGGTGCACAACCCAGAACTACGCTAGTAGAGAAAAACACAAAGAAGAACAGACCTCTCTTATTTAGAAACACCAAGGAAGAAGACAGAGGCGGTGGGGTTATTTGAATTTCTTTGGTTTCATGATGTTTCAAATCTTGAGAATTGCATTAGCACCATTAGTATTAATTTTGTAAGTTAAAAATATGTACCTACTTAAATTAAAGAATATTATGTATATAAATAAGTTTTCACACTTACACTATACACGGAAATAATGCAAAGAATTAATTATATGAGAAATAAAAATGCAATATTTTTATGAAATGTAGATAGTTTTCCAAATAGAAAATTATGTAAAATTGTTAAATCAAAGGAAACAATATTTTAGTAATGTTTTTCTCAAAATAAAATAAAGTGTTGAACGTATATTTGCAACTAAAGGTCTCAATTTTTTTATTTATATACTTAAGTTATAAGAGAAGATGATTGTTTCATATTTTAACCAAGTGACTCATACATGATTATGTGATAATAAAATATTTTCTACAATTTGCTTAACCACATACACTTTTGATATTATGAATGTGTAGGAAGTTTCAATTTTGATAATTCAGCTAATGTTTTCACTTCTTAGATATTTTTTACAGTCGCGCGAAGCGCGATCAGTTAATTAGTGATCATATAGCTATGACTTTTTTTATCAAGTCATGTAGTTATGTTTTCTCACACAAAATTAGAAAACTTTCACTAACTTACACAAAAATCATATTGAACGAAAAACACAACTTTCCGATAGTTTTTCGTATTTACCTTTTTAATTTTTTATTTTTAGTTTAATAAATAGTAATTCAATTAAAATAGGAATTACCCAACCCGACCTAACCCAAACCAATACCCGTAATCACTCCCCGAAAATACACGATACGTGTATTTTTTTATTTTCTTTCAAGATTTTCATTCAAATTGATAGCGTTATTGTTTCTAGAGCTTTCTGATTATCCATACCTTTTATTATTATTATTATTATTTTTAATTGTCAGGATCCCATGCAAAATACTCCTAAGAAAGAAATATAATATTATTTGCAAAATACTCCAAATCATTTATGTCCGATAGACCGTAGGTGATAAATATAAACTCCATATTGTATGACTTTTTCAAATATTTCTTTCTTTCCTTGGAATATTTTGCATGTCATGAATTCTGACAAAAAATAAAAGAAATAAAAGTTATGAATAATCAAAGAGCTCTTGATATAATGAAAATCTTAAAAAGGAAAATAAAAACTTAAAGTATCATGTATTTTGAGGAAAGGATTCAATTTTAAAATTATTTTAATTTATGCAATTTTAATATTATTAATTTAAGCAATTTTAGTATTATTTTAATTTATGTACATGGTTATTGGGTTGAATCATTTTTATTTTAATATGGTTATTATTTATTAGTCTGAAAACAAAAAAAAATAAAAAAATAAAATATGGAATAAGAAAACAATACCGGAAAATCGTATTTTTTGGTCACTGTAATTTTTGCGTGAGTTGGTGAATGTTTTATGATTTTTATGTAGGAAAATATAATTATATGACTTTAGTGAAAAAAAGTCATAATTATATGATCGTTTGTGAAATCTACCCAAATATTTTAGATTATTAAAGAAGCCGTTGACGGAATTAGGCAGCCAT